CCTTCACTTTGAGATTCATCAGTCTTTCCATGTTTCTATGTCTCTGGATTTATTTTGTTCATCAGTTTATTTAGTTGTTTAGATTCCACATATAAGTGAGATCATGTGATACCTGTCTTTCTCTGACTGGCTTATTACACCTAGCATGATACTCTCCAGGAACCTCCATGATGTCTGCATAGTATTCCATGAGTAAATATGCCACAACTTCTTTATCCACTTGTCTACTAAAATTTTAACATGACATTATTAAAGATGTACTCATAGATACACTGTGTGTTCTAGTGATGAGCATACAGTGATAAGGAATAAGCTTATTTCTGCCCTTTGAATAATCAAGAAAGTAATTCTTACCTTTCACATCTAAATTTCTACTAATACATTATAAGCATGTTTTCCAATTAATCACTGTTGGAAATTATGAACTTTTATTTACAGTCCCTTCCGTATTAAGCCACTTTCATGTTAAATTTGTTTAACCTCTCTTCCTCAGCCATGTCATGACAACAACTTTTGCTAATGCTGTCAGGCACAAAACTGAACACTTTATTTGCCTTTCTTTAAGCAGGAATTTGCCAATAAGCATTCTAAGCATATGGGTTCCAAAAGATTCGGCCCCCATGCAGTACTCTAATCTGGGATGTCATGCCATCTACTTGCTATGGCACGCTTCCTGTGCTTTACGGAAGTCATTGGAGCATAGCTGGACATACACAATGGTTTCTTACTACAGCATCTCTTTCTTTACCCATCAATGTGGTCTGACCCCACAAAATTAACTCAGAAAAAGAATATCCATCATTTGACTAACCCAAGAACAGGCTTCATGTGTAACTAAATGAGAGTGGGCATCAGCTCTGTAACCATGTTTAGTCGTATTGACTTACAAGCTCTACTGTCTTCCTACCTCCATCCTGGGGATGGTTTGTCTTTTCCCTCTGGGAGCTTCAAAGAATAACTGTTCTTTAGCACCAGTGTTAACCTGTAAGAGCTTTCCTTCAGAAGAAGGCAAAAATATACACACATACATAGTCATATATTTAAAATTTTATATGTTTATAATTTTATCTTAAAATAGAGACCATTACACACATAGCATGAAAACTTGAAATTATATAGAAAACCATTTAATAAAATTCACTTTTACTATATAAAAATATGAACCTTATATGTTAAAAGGAAAAATACTAGTTGATAAAAATTACAAAAGTCTATGATAACAAATAATTTAGAGATGCAAACTAAAACAAGAAATACCATTTTTTCACCTAACCATGCCAAAAATTAAACAAGATTTAACAATTCCAATTGCTGCCATGGGTGTGAAACCTGATGTTGGGCATATAATCTGATACAATTGTTCTAGAAGGAAGTTGGGACATTTGAATAAAATTTTCAAATGTGAAAAAATTACACACACAAATATAAAATACAAATACATATACATTTAGTATCATGTTTAACTTTTATGGGAAAAATTAAGTTTAAACACAAAAACCATTTTCCTTTGCAGTCAACATATATTAAGAACATTTGATTTTATTACTTTCTATATAATTAAGTAATTAAATTCATAAGTGGTTTCATTTTTGTGTATGTCTACATATAAAAACTATTTGTTATGTACATAAAAAAAACCTGAAAACTAATTTTGAAATTTTAAAATTTTGTTCAATAGTACTTGAAAAAAACTGATTTACAATACTAGATTTATAGAGATGAATACATGAAACAAAAATCCTTAAAAACGGTAGGTCAGTTGGTTAGAAAGTTATCTAGCTACATCTAGTTACAGGTTCAATCTCCGGTCAGGGCATTACAAGAAGCAATCAATGAATGCAAAAATAAGTGGAACAACAAAATCATGTCTCTCTTTCTCTCTTCCTTCCTCATTCTCTCTAAAATCAATTTTTAAAAATCCTTAAAAATGGAGCATTTAAAATATTTAGCATTTATCCAAGCTTATTAAACGCTGTCATATGCCATGCATTCTGCTAAAACACAAAAGATATTAAACTGTGTATGTTATACAATTATGAATATAATTTTTAGGGAATGTAATTATATCAGACAATGGGGAAATCACTTTAAAATTCTCACTAACATACCTACTTTCTGTTACTATTTACGTCAAGCTTTTTTGACAAAAACCAGGACAAATGAATAATATTATTTTGGATAATATTTAAATTACTTTACAAATTAAAGAGTTTACACTTACTGTGCTATCATTTGAATTATACTAGGAGAAATACTGAAAAGTCTAAACTCATGGCATTCATCTTCAGATGTGAAATAAAGCAATGGAAAATAATTTTGAGAATGATATTTTCTTTTCACAATGCTTTTTTTTTTTTTTTTAAATGGAAGGAATGGATTTTAGTCTAAGTGCAATGGGAAACTGGTGGAGAATTTTTTTTTTAAATATATTTTATTGATTTTTTACAGAGAGGAAGGGAGAGAGATAGAGAGTTAGAAACATCGATGAGAGAGAAACATCGACCAGCTGCCTCCTGCACACTTACTGTGCTATCATTTGAATTATACTAGGAGAAATACTGAAAAGTCTAAACTCATGGCATTCATCTTCAGATGTGAAATAAAGCAATGGAAAATAATTTTGAGAATGATATTTTCTTTTCACAATGCTTTTGAACTCATCTGTTGAATCACTTTTTGCTTCTCTAAATTAGTAATACTAAATCAAATGAAACTTTTACAAAATAGTAAGTTATTTAAATTCTTACCTCTAATGTCCCAGTCAATATGGGTGATATAACTCGTAGCGCCTTTGCATATTCCCACTCGTTTACTGCTCATTACATTGTAGATATCCACAAAGCTGTCATGGGATGCTACTGCGAGATATTTTCCAGAACCTGTTATAGAAACATGGTTGCCTGTCATTTTCTACTTTTAGAAATGTTTTTTACATTGTACAACTAGAGTTGTATTAATATTTTCTGGGAGAAACTCAGTTGTTTTGTAAGTTATAACAAGCTATGTGTGTCAACTGATAGAAGGTGACATATTTAAAAAATATATTCTAATTAACAATAAGTAAGTTTTGTAGTGTAGTAAAGCAGTTAAGT